ATCCCAATCATACACCTTTTCGCACGTCCTATCCAATATTACAGATAAACCCCCTACTTCATCCAGGTTACCAATTGATGGTCCAATATTCCAAGCCCTCTCCGATTTACTGGACACACAACCATTCGACAGTCCCACAAATCAAGTAATTAAAATTCTATTTATATAGCTTTCTACGGTTTTTAAGACACTGGGAGTTTACAGTAGCTAGACAGACAGACATCATCTCTAGCTTAAAAATATATATTTTCTCTAATGTGGTAACAAGGGATGCCACTCTGCACAAATTGGTCATAAAATGTGATCTGATCATCATCTAAGTCACAACAATAGACAATCACAGTCTTCTTAAACTAATAACACACAAAGAATGAAATGTTGCCATGTTTTTATTGAACACATCATCTAAACGTTAACAGTGCAGGTGGAAAAAGTATGTGAACCCCTAGACTAATGACATCTCCAAGAGCTAACTGGACTGAGATGTCAGCCAACTGGAGTCCAATCAATGAGATGAGATTGGAGGTGTTTTTTACAGCTGCCCTGCCCTATAAAAACCACACACCAGTAGTGTTGTCCCGAACTGTTCGCTGAACGGTTCGCCGCGGACTCATCATTGAGTGGGAAAGACCGGAGCTCCTGAGCTAGCATTCATGTATTTTTACTGGCTGTTCGTGAAACGAATGAGCTACCCCCCAATAGCCCACACATAGAGAGACGTGTGGCACTCGTTAACTGATTGCAACATTGTTGCAATCGGTAGTTAATTACCTTCCTAGGTGGCCGTCGTTCGGCTACCAACCATGCGGCGGTCGGCCATCTTGGATCCTTTGTTTCACCAGCGGTGTTTGGTCGTCGAGCGCGTAGAACTGAAATCGGCTACTCGACGGTGCGAACACCGCTGGACTTCCAGGCTGTTCAGGAGCTCCGGTCTTTCGCTATTGGGGTTCCCCATCGGTGTTCGGTACTTTAATGCGAACCCAATGGTAAAGTGTATTTTGTGTGGCGTTCGGTGGTTTAAGCTGGGATCTGAGCGGTATTCCCACGAAATGTACACTCAGACCCCAGCTATCTACCGTATGTCCATTTTGTTTAAATAACCTGAAAATTGCCAAAGTTATATATTTTAATGTGAAATGCCGGTTCTGCTGCACGGAGGGATAATCCATTTAACAGTATATTCCAGTGGGAGTATCCCTCTCGTCCAGCAGTGCCTGATAGGAGAAATGCCCAGAATGTTACGTCACCCATGTAGTCCCCTACTGTATTACCCCTGCTATGTCAGTAGGGAAACCCCTTGCATGGGGACTTGCATAAATACTGGAACTGTGAATAAAAACCTCAGTTGACTCCCAGAACTGTGTTTCGTCTGGTTACTGGGGGATTTGGGATATTGCCTTACTTTTCAGCGCTTGACTGTGGATTACCTTCTGTACCAGCGGAGATCGTGGAATTTAATATTGCAGCTCCGCTACAAGCACACCAACATCAAAACCTCATCCCAACTGTGAAGTATGGTGGTGGGGGCATC